CAAGAAGTCCTAAGGACGAATTCCTACCTCTCTCCTCTCTTTTTATACCTTCTCCATTTTCTCTTGGTGTTTGTAAGCCATTAGAGGAGTGACACTTGTGACTCTAAGCATTCCATAGTCAATTCAAGGTGGAATTGGGATTGTTATTGCTACATAACAATCAAGGTAACATCTTAAACCTAATTATATGTTAATATCGATTTCCATATGCTAGAATTAGGGTTTATAGTCTTGGATTCAAAGCATGTACAATAGAGAAACCTAGATCCAAGCATTAGGGTTTGTATGAGCACATAGGATGTCTTATGACCAAAACCCATTAGTGGTATCAGAGCCTAGGATGGTTTCAATTGTATTGATGCATTGTATATCTAAAAAATTCGATTTTTTGGTGTTCTAGAGGCTGGACTCGCCGAGTCCATAGCTTAACTCGCCGAGTCCAGAGTGACTCGACGAGTCCAGGCTTGACTCGACGAGTCAACTCGTCAGATAGCGCTTATCCCGGGATTTCTTGTTGTTTTTGCATATGGATAGTTACCTTATCATGTTAGATCAATATTAATCCGATTATATGATATATTTGACTATATTTTTGATCTAATTGAAGATATTTATCAATTAATAAGATAATTGGTTCCTTATAAGATAATTGATTAATTATTTTGAGTAAATTGATAAATTGTTTTGCAAGAAATCGTTAAACAAATCAAATATGGATAATTATGTAATTAAATGTTAGTTTAGATTATTTGTTATTTGATCCTTGTTGTTATGAAAAGTTTCACATTTTTCCCTTTAGGTTTTATAGTTTAAATTTGAACCCAAAAGTTTTGTTGTTTTAAAATTTAAATAGTTGAAACCCTAATGTTTTTGAAATGTTTCAAAACTTGCCCTTAAGTTTTGGAATTTAAAAGTTGATTAAAAGTTAATTAGGAATGTTAAATTCTAAAACCCTAGTAATGTTTTGAAAAGTTCAAATACACCCTTATGGTTTTATTAATTAATTAAGGAGTATAATTAAAAGAGACTTAATAAATCCATAACAGTCTAGGTTAACCATTTAATTGAATTAAAAGCGTAATTGTTAAAGTTAACCACCTAATATTTTAAAAGTGCACCCTATACTATATATAACATTAAAAGTCTAACATTATATATATGTATGAGTAAAAGTCAGTCGTACCGTTAGTAGGCCTCATTCACGAAGTTGGTCTATAAGGGGTGTTTCAGGAAATTACCTATAAAATGGCGATTAAATGGGTATCCACTCTTACCCACCGCACTCTTGACTAGTGGAGGGTCGTTAGCCAAATGGGTAGGATAGGACGAAACCTTCCATTATAAGTATAATGAAATACAAAGTAACTAAATGTTTTTCAAATTCCCAATCTTAGTTACTTAGGCAAAAGTGAATTGATGCAATTCCATGAAATTACACTTTGTGCACTTGCGAAGACGTTAGTGGAGCGTGTGTGGTTTACCGGCACACTAAATGGTTCTAAGCAAAGGTAGCAAAGAGTGACTCAATGTTTGTCATAGTTCGGTGGAGCGTGTGTGGTTTACCGGCACATTGAATAGGTGATTGTAACATGTGAGGGAACCATGTAAGTTTGCATGGTTATTCACACCCGCTTTATGATCCTCGGCATCCCAGTCACAAACGAGAGGGGTATATCGAGATATAAACATGCCATTGAAATGTTCAATGAATCTCAAAGGATCTAGGAGTTTTCGTAGATTTAAAACTTAAATTTATTTTTCGTTTTTCATGGTGGAAATTGGTGAATCCTCATTCACTTACCTTCAAATATTCTGCAACTAGATTACGGCATCCCTTTTCTAGGCTGTAGCATATTGTGTTGGGTCCAAGCCTTAGTATCTCATTTTGGTGATTTACTAAGGACTCAATCAATCAATCAACTAACTTGAATTTGTTTCTCCCGTTTTGTAGATGTCAAAGTTCGACAACTATGGTCTTCCCAAATCCCGTGGAACAAGCATTCCACATGAGGATGATATTCCACGATTCGATCGAGGAACAAGAAATCATGCTTCACTTCCTCCTCCTCCTCCAATTATTCTCCCTAACCCACAAGATTGTAAAATTGAAAGTTTCAATATCACTCAAGCCCTTTTGGCAAGTAAACATAAAGAAGGAAAGTCGGTGTGTGCACACGTCTTAGGGATGAAGTCACACATTGATAGGTTAAGAATGATGGGATCCGTTGTCGGTGAAGAGATGGCTGTTGATTGGGTTCTTCAGTCACTTCCTAACTCGTATAGTGAGTTCATAAGAGAGTACCATATGATGAACCGCGACGTGACCCTTATTGATCTCACCTATATGCTTATTGTTGCTGAATCAGCAATGGTTTGGCGCAATAGAAAAGCAAAGTTGATTGGTGAATCTGCCTTCAAGACCTCTATGGCTATAGACAATGGCAATGAAAGACATGCAATGATCGAAAAGTTTGATCATAAGAGAAAGGCGATGTCTGAAGTAGGTCCATGTGTTGTTCCAAAAGAGTCAATTTGCTTTTATTGCCAAGAGAAGGGGCATTGGAGACGAAGTTGCTCTATTTACCTAAGAAATCTAAGAGATGGGAGAGTCAAAAGTATGACTACGCTTCAGGTAAAATCCACTATCTAACTCCGTTAAGTTCCTATTCATTGATTCTTGATACATGATGTGATAAGATTGCATTTAAATGTTTTGCAGGATCGGTGAAAAGAAAGGAAGCTTGATAAGAGAGCAAGATGAATCTAATCACAAGAGATGGATCTCGATCGCATGGACTTGAAGATTGGATTTTGAGCTTAGATAGTTATGATATAAATTTTCCTTTTACATAGTTTTCAATAGATTTTGCATTGTAAGGACAAATGTTTTTCCGCTGCTTTTATAAATAAAATAAATTTTGACTGATTTCACTACTAGAAAAACAGCCTTTTACGGCGCTCATTGCGCGTCGTAAAAGGCTCAGACGACGCGCAAATGCGCGTCAAGGAAGGCCCTGTCATAAAGAGAGACGACGCGCATTTAATACGCTCATTTACGACGCGCAATTACGACGCGCGTTTACGACACGCAATGCGTATCAAGGAAGGCCCTGTCATAAAGGAAGACGACACGCATTCGCGTGTCGTAACCTTACGACGCGCGTGTTAATGACACGCAATGCGTATCAAGAAATCCCCTGTCAAGAAAGGCCATGTCATAAATGAAGATGACACACATTTTTGCGTATCGTAAATTTAAATATTTAAAAAAATATATATTTATATATTTATTAATTTTTAAATTAAATTTACATTTAATGTGTCATAATAGAAATAAAATACCATATACAAAAAAAATACAATCCATTGAATAAACTTTAATGTCATACAATTCTAATTCTTACAATATATAAATATGCATTCATCTAATCTACTCTATGTTTCATACTAACAATTGAAATGAAGAATACAACACTTGCATTTTCAGCATCTTATCTCTTTCGGCTTGAGCTTTCTTTTCCACTTCTAACTCGAGAGCTATTCGCTTTCATCAACCCTGTAAACACAACACAAAATCACTTGTCATTTTCATTCGCTTTCCAATTTCCGTTGTGTGTTTTCCTATTTCCTTAGTTTGTGTACAATGGAGTAAGCAAGTGTGTATTGAAGCACCTTCCATGTAATAATACCCCCTTGACCAGTACTAGTATCAGAACATAAAGCACCTTTCTGCACAAAAAACAACAATAAGTCAACAAAGAGTCAACATGTTAGTTGCAGCCTTGTTTCTTCTTCTTCTTCTGAACTCATCTCTTGCAACCATTGCTCTAAGCCTACTCTGAATAGATACAACAACTCCTTGTCAAAACATGTACAACCGGTTTCAATCAAGACACTTAATCAATCAAAAATTTCAACAATTAATTTATTTCCTTATTAAAGTTAGTTCTTTTACAGCTATATGTTTGAAGATATAAAGAAAAAAAATGTCAAAGGAGAATAAGGAAATACTGAATGGTAGAACCTCATTACTGTTATGCACACAATTATTCAAACCAGACTGCCAAATTCTAACAACTTCTCCAAGTGTTCTGTTTTCAATCCTGTCAAGCACAATTTTTTCACAAGTAAGGCAGAAGCATGGAAATAAATAAAAGTGGGCTTCTTGAATTATCCTTCATTTTGATAAATATACAAAGTTATATGATGTGTGTGTACCTAATGGGGCCATATCTTGGTCCACAACGGAGTACAACAATGAAACATGATGCCTCTTCATAACCTCGAATTCCAGTCCTTCAAATTTCCAGAGTGCCATCTTCCTCCTTCAAAACAAGAAATATGGTGTCTTCCTTCTCAATTTGAACAGGAAATGACCATTTTGTGCCTTCATCACGGATCTATTAGATAAACAATATGTAAGGAAAATATCACTATAATAAATAGATAAAAATTGTATAATGAAAAAATACACACACACACACGAAGGACCCCTAATCACCTGTAGCTTGCTAGGTTGGTCAGTCTCACGGTAAACAATGAACTAGAAACCAAACTTAAGGGCTTTTATGAACCAAAAAGAAAGAGTAAAATCGAACATTTCTATCAAACTTAAAGGCTTTAATAAACCAGAGGGTAAAATTAAAATTAAAAAAAAAAGTTGCAAATATCCGAATTTAATGAACCTAAAATCTACAAGAGGGTAAAACCGACAAAAACTTACAAACTTAAGGGTTTTTATGTCATTAGCCCTATATTTAAATGGTTTCCTTTAAATCTTCCATAAAATAACTTGTAGTAGTCGCATAAGAAAAAACTCGTGTTTTCTTGTATACGATATGCAAAATTCAAAAGTGGACTACCAAAAATTGCCAAGTTAGATTCATAACTTTATGTACATTTTGTTAAATAAATCATCCAATATAATTCAAATGAGACCAAAGAACTCTAAATATGTACTCAATTGAAATGAGAATCACGTTCCAAACCCAAAATACCCGGTCTAAATCAAATCTTTTCAGTTCTCTACCAGTTTAGCAGAGTTTTGAGTTATGTGATTAGAACAAAAATCATCCAATTGATCTCAAATATCATCATCTATCTATACGTTTAATATGTATATATTTATATAAGGACCCATAAAAAGTAGGGTTGAGAATAGAGATGGGACCTAATTTTCACCAATGGCGCAAGGAATGCAAGGCGGATCTTTTGCTTGGTCTTGAGGAGTGATTTTTTGCAAACATTGATCATGAAAAGTATGGCCACAAGGAAGAACAGCAACTGCTGGTGGTGCTGTAGGCTGGTATACTGCACCTTCTGATGTTAATGAAAGATCCCTCTTGCATAGCAAGCATTTATATTTTGTCAATTCAGGAGGACTTGTCTCAGGATCTGGCATATAATCAAACACATTACATTAGTTAGTAGTTACCATGTCATATATATATATATATATATATATATATATATATATATATATATATATATATATATATGAAGAAATAGTAAGAGTAAGAAACGATAGTGTACCTTTCCATGTAATATGAGAGACTGTAGGACTAGGAGCAGCTGTCACAGGAACACGAGGTCTAAAATTTGATGTGTAAGGTATAGATGGATTCATAAGAGCACGAACATGTTGTTGAGTCTCTGATTGTGATTGGTAGATTGGTATGGAAGGATGAGCAAGATTGGCTGTTACAGAAGCAGCTGGTTTTGTGGGGAATCGGATTGGCATTGAATGATGAGTAGTTGTTGGATGTGACATCTTCTGGCGTTGAACCCAATGGGCGCCTGAAGGTGGGGCCACTGCACTTCTCTTGTGATATGGTCTCGCATAATACTCAAATTATTAGAGAGACCATCAACAGAAGTTGTAGGAGCTTGTCCTCTAGGATTGTTAGGAAGCTGAACCATTTGAGATTGGCCTACATAAGACCAAACAAAAAAAATATCAAATATGTATGCAATATATCCAACTGTATACATACACTTCTTAGGTTTTTATTTACCATGACTGAAACGGGGACCTTGAGGATTCATCGGATAACTCACAGGTGCTGCATCAATTCGATCTGATTGTCATAAAAACGATCTCAAGAAATTAAAAAGAGAGCAAGTAGTCATACCAATAGAAGGTCGAACAACATTATCTGGATACTGACGTGTTTGACTTTGACCTGAAAATAAAAAAATTAATCTGACATGATAAGTAAGACTTAACTTGTTGTCTATAACTGTATAAAAACAGTCTTATGCCACTCAAGATACCTGCACTAGTTGTCTGCAAGCTTATTTGTCTCTCAGCAGATTGAGGGCTATCTCTCCCATTAAACTCAACTCCCAGCCTTTTTGGGAATGGGAGATCTGTTACACCTTGACCACTACTAACCCAAGATACTTGAGGAATTGCTGTCCTCTGGTTTTGTGAAAGCAGACCACCCCCAGGACCTTGGGTAGGCATGTGATTCTGTAAATAGGGATGTTTTCCTACAAGAAAACATATTGATTCAATAAGGATAACCTTAATGTAAACTGAAAACAATCACCTTGCTTACCTGCATAATTCTGTCTGGTAGAAGTAGAACCACTTCCAAGTTTGAGAGAAGAATTCATGGAACTCTCTGATGGTGACAAATCTATATTGCTTGGATAACGAACCTGAGATACATATAAGAGTATAAGCACTCCATGTTATTGAATCAAAAAAGGTTACATGAACAAATAAAAACGTACTTTTAAATTTATTTGTTACTTTCCTTTTCCTATTATAACATCGTAGCACCCAATTATAGTAATGTCATGCAAAGACATGATATTTACTGCTATGATTGAGTAGATTTTTCATGCAATAATAGGAAGAAAAAAATGAAAGTAAGATGCTAATGCTATGCATTTAGACGAATCCAAAAAGAAAATGAAGTTACCGCAACATTCAAGGTAGGAGCTGGGTGTTGCCACGAATTCCATTCGGGCCCAAAATAGAATGTCTGGAGAGAGTTTCTTCCCTTGCACGAGGAATATTTAGAGAACTAAAGCAGCAAGAAAACAAAATCACTAGTTTGTGTTTGAGATGGAAAAGCAATCGGAAAAAGGTGAATTCAACATTGATACTTACATGGATCCTGAAATCACTAAAGAAGGGCATTGGTCCTTCAGAAAAAAGATGCAAAAGCTGACTACTAAAGAAGGGCTTCGTGGAGAAAATTGCAATCAAGCCCTAAATTGAATAGTTCTCCATTTAAAGAAAACACAGTATAGGGCTAGAGTTGATAATTTGGAAGAAAAAAGATGAAGAACAGAAGAATATGAGGTCAAAGTAACAGAATGGAATAAATAAAGGAAAATTCTTACCTTTTTCTTCGAACGGAGGGTCAATTGACTTTCAATTTTCGGTGTTAGGGCTTAGCGATTGTAAGAGGAAGAAGACAGACGTACTCTCATAGATGATGGTTGTATGCGCTTGATTTTGCAAAGACGAGTTAAAGGAAAGAACTAGGGTTTTCTTGTTGTAAGTCAGGGGAGAAGCCGAGAAAGTAATTAGAGGAGAAGGGGGGAATCGCTCAAGAAGAAAAATAGGATGTCTTCGTAAGATGGAAGGGAAAATTGGTTTAGAAGCTGGTCAAATGTAATGAAATGTTGAAACGTTTGGAAACAACTTCTCCCAAATGGTTGGAGAAGATGGTCGGAGACAGTTGGCGGTGCGAGATCGGAGGTTGGGTGGTGGTGCGATGCTGCTATGAAGACCAACGCCCTAGGGCTTTTTCTTGCTAATCGGAAGAGGCGGGGGGTTTAATTTTTGGGATCCAGTATAGGCGGGTGAAATCCCGCTTAAAACGCGTGTTTCATTAAAAAAATTATAAAGCGACACTCTTAGATGACACACGTTTTATGAAAGGTGCCCTCCGCTTTTTCTTTTTTTTCTTTTCTGACACTAATTTTAGGGCACGCACAAATGTGGTGCCCTCTATCCTTCATATTTTGCAAAACTGACATTATTTTTTAGGGCACGCACAAATGCGTATCGTTTATCAGCGCGTGTCATTGTTTGCGCGTCATTAAAGGGCTTTTTTCTAGTAGTGTTTATTTATTTGTTTACTCCACCTTTAATAATTCACCCATTTGATTTTTATTATTTAAATAATGATTTTCATCAAAATATGTTTAAATTATGAATATTTAGAGTTTATTATGTTAAAATATAATTTCTGGAGAAAATCCCGCTTTAAAATCACGAAAAACGGGCTTAAAATGTTAAAAATATCAAAAATGGGCTAAAAGTGACCAAATTCCGAATTCTGGCCGAGGTTCGGCCTTCTGATGCTGAAACCGAGAGGTGGGAGGGTAGAAACCGAGAGGGAAGAAGAGGGAGAGTAGGAACCGAGAGGGGAGAAGAGGGAACAGAGAGGCGCGAGGAGACAGAGAGGAGAGAAGGAGCAGAGAGGCGCGAAGGGACAGAGAGGAGAGAAGGAGACAGAGAGGTGCGAAGGGACAGAGAGGAGAGAAGGAGACATAGACCGAGAGGCGGGTAGAGACAGAGAGGCGGAGTAGAGACAGAGAGTGCGAGAAGCGACAGAACGTGCGAGAAGCGACAGAAAGGGGGCGACAGAGACCGAGACTCGGTCTCGTCTACAGGAGTTTGGTCCTCCGGGTTCAGCCAACAGAGGCTCGGTCCGGTCTGTACTCTCGGTCCTAGGTCTCGGCCTTAAGGAGCTTCGGCTCCTTGAGAAGGGTTTCGGTTCCTAAGGTCCATTTTTCTCGTTTTTACCCCGTTTTAAGCCGTTTTTGACCCCGTTAAAGGCTGGAATGACCCGAATGATTCTAAAAAGTTACGGGAAACTTTTGATAGAGATTTGGGAGAGATTTCTCACACTTGGAGAGATTTGGGAGAGATTTTACATTCTTGGAGAGATTTCTCATACACAGAGATATTTGCGAGAGTTTTCACATACTTGGAGAGATTTAACATTCTTGGAGAGATTTCTCATACAGAGAGATATTTGAGAGAGATTTCACATACTTGGAGAGATTTGGGAGAGATTTGACATTATTGGAGAGATTTCTCATACAGAGAGATATTTGAGAGAGATTTCACATATTTAGAGGGATTTGGGAGAGATTTGACATTCTTGGAGACATTTCTAATACAGAGAGATATTTGAGAGAGATTTCACATACTTGGAGAGATTTGGGAGAGATTTGACATAGAGAGAGATAGAGTGAAAACGATTGAGAGAGGTTCCATGTGTGACAATTGTGAGTGTCCGGCATCGCAATGCATGGTTCGTAAACCCTGTTAAGCCTTGTTTAAGGATCTTACACACTCCCGATGAGTATGCAACATTGTTTTATCGGTTTGGGCTCGCCACGTACCACAGTTTATGGTTAAGGATATCTAGATGTTCGCACTTTTGATTTATGATCTCTCATTAGAATAGAGAGTTATGTAGAAATTTCATAATGTAATTTTTAGTACTCACTGGCAAATTGGGTCAAACGGTTTGACTTGCTGACTTTAGTTAACTTTGACTTGACCGAAATTTGACGGTTGGCACATCATCCCCCCGTTAGAGGGAATTTCGTCCCGAAATTTGAATTCAGGCAAGGAGTAGGCATGAATAATCAAGCCAAGAAGTGGGGGTACTTCCTAATTGACTAATTCTCGCGCTCCAAAGTGACTCTACGTCCTTGGTTAGTTTTCCAGCGAACTTTCACTAATGGGAAGTGGCGTTGTTTCATCCGCTTGACCTCGGTCCATGGTCACCATGGTTCTTCCAAGAAGGTGAGGCTCTTGTGGAACTCGATCTCGTCGAGGGGAATTGCAAGAGTCTCGTCGGATAGATTCTTCTTGTAAATTTGGGACGTGTTGGGTAGGGTGTACTTTACCAAGCTCGCGGGAGTAGATTGAAGTAGCGAGTTACAGGGCTGATTCTGACAAGAATTTCGGAAGACACAATTATTTGGGGTATTGGCTTTCCACGCTTTCTGAAGCGTACTAAGCCTTCCCAGAGTGAGTGTTTCTAGAGGAATTTGGTCGGTTATACTGGAGTTCTAAAGGTTTCTTCTTCTTGCTTCTCTTCCTGTCAAGGGTTGCTCCCTTTAGGGTCAAAGTTGGGAGGGGGTCCGTATTTTTCGAGAAGTTCCAAAGGAACTAAGACGGTAGATCAGCGAGACCCAGAATTTTGGCGTATTTCTGCTAACGCCTTCGGTGCTGACTGTTTCTCAACGGTTTTGATCAATTGAAAGGGTCCTTATGAATTTTCACCTTGGTAACGATGTGTCTTGAGAATTGAACTCCTCAATTCCAAAACTCGTATCTAGAGAACTTCGGGTAATACTTCTCTGATCGTAATGCTTTCGTGGTTTGTTGTAGCTGCTCTCCTTGGTTTCCTTCTTACTACGAGGGTAGATAAGTAAGTCATTTGTAATGACGATGATGAACTGATCCTAGCAAGAATGGTATATCCTATTTGTTACTTTCATGAATCCTACGAGTGGGTTTGGTCCTATCCGAGGGTTATCACTACGAACTTTCAGCGCCTGCATCGAAATTGGAGGATTGTTCTCGGACATCCTTCTTCAATACTCGTGACTGGTGATATTCAGATCTTAGGTCCAATTCCTGAAGGGTACCTCGTTCCTTGAGGTTGGTCGGCCTATTCGTCAATGCGAGACAGATAGTAAAGGTTTCTATTGGAGGTGTTGTCGGGGCCTCTAAAATCGATGGAATGATGAGCAATTTGCTTTTCTATTTGACGAATAAGACCAGAGTTTTCCAGGGTAAGAAGCTTGGTTCTTCAATTTCATTGTTGAGTAGTTCGACAGGTTTGACCTGACAGCTCTTGTAGCTCGGTAGGAAGTATGCGGGTTTGGTTTACGCGACTAGGCCTTTTTTTTTGAATGGTAGGACATTTACTCGTCCTTCTGGGCAACCTTAGCCGAAGCTCATGGCAGGACTCGTACCATATCTGTCCCAAGCTTCTATGCTTGAATCTTGTCTGCTACATGCACGACATTCATGAAGGTCTCCTGTATATACATGTGATAAGGCTTCGGTAAGTATAACACTCCTCTGGTGCGTGTTTTGGAGTTCCACAGCGAGAGATGACCCAAAGGTCCGTGCTGGATGTTTATGAGAGACGATAGTTTTGATATTTGGGGGGTTAGGCGAAAGGCCCTTTTGTATAGTCGTTAAATCGGGAAGACGAGGGCTATATCAATCAAAATTAGATAACGACAACAATATCTTTTTTTAGATAACATGAGATAAGTTGCATTCGAAGGAAGAGATCACTAGAGTGATAGAGTGTCCTGTATTTCTTTTATGTGTGTTCCGTTTTGTTAAATGTTATGATTATTGCAGATGATTCATACCATAGTGTCTAGCACTGGTAGTGGGTGTGTTTTCAGTAGCCTGTAATGATACTTGATATCATGATTCCTGACAGGTCTCCTCACGATCGAGCAGTATATGATCGTCGTATGTAAATTGATATCGTGCAATCGTCGAGTGGGTGACCCCACTCAACCCCTAATACTAGACATGGAATCGGAGTCAGGATGGAATTATCTGTTTCAAGACTTTAGTATTTTGATTTTAAATTAACCCCGATGTATGGACAAGGTCATCACAACTTACAGGTAATGCTCCTAAGGTCACATATGAATGTCTTTGGTTTGATTTGTATGAGAGAGAAAATATTTTAGCTACTTTTTAGAAGGAAGGTTACTTTAGTAAGCGTACCAAATTCATTACAAACATATAGTACTTAAACATTTTGTCGTTGGGAACATTACAAAAGTCCTAACATGGTTCCCTTGCTGCTCCTGTTGGTGTGTTCATCACATTCCTCCTGTTCCTTCGTCATTCTTCTCAGTTGGACATTCTCTCTTGAAGTGTCCCATTTCACCACATAGGTAGCATACTGGGCCTACCTTGGTGCAGTTGATTGAAGGGAGGTGATGGGCTGAGGCCCTACAGAAACGAACAGTATGCCCTTTCCTGTTGCAGTTTTTTTTACAGTGCATCTCCCGGCAAGCCCCATGGTGATGAAAGCCACATTTGTTGCACTTTGGGAGTGATCCCTCATATGGTCTGGCAGGCATTTGGGTGGCAACCCCGAGGCTAGTGTCGAGGCATGTGTCATG